AAGTTATCTAAAACACAAAAGAAAAGTTAAGAAACGAGGTAAAATGTGCAAAAAATGATCAAAATTTTCATTGTTTTGATACATTTTTTGGACTCAGGAACAAAACATGTAATTTTGTATGGATTCTTTGCCTCGATTTGAATAGATTCGATTTGAGTAGAAATTTTTTGGAACAAAACAACTACTCAAATCGAGGACCCCCAGTATTTACTACAGTAATGTTTGCTCTTCATGCATCCTCGAAAGCATAGATGCAGTTTTCAACTAGCAATAGCAAAAAAAAAAAGAAAAAATAATATAAAGTATTTTTTCCGCCTTTTATGTTTGTGGCAGTTAAGCAATTGTGCAATTATTGTGCTTCATGATGAAACATTGCAGAATCATTCGTGCGCTATTAAATATTACCATCGCGTATTTCGATTTTTTTTTCCTTCTTCAAGCACTACAAGTTGTGTTTCAATGTAATTGTTAGCGAGTAGTGATACTTAGATAATTTTTTTTATATATATTTGGAATATTTTCAACAGTTGTGCTAATTTTCAGCATGAGCATACCTTTTCTTCCTTAATTACAAATTTTTTTTCTTCTTTCGTTCTTGATTGTTTATGAAACTTCTCGTAAAGTAAATTAAAAAGTTTTTATCGCTTTACAATTTAATGCTTTTCAAAACAATGCAACACCGAGAGTGTGCATCTATAAGCATATTTCTATCTCTCTTTCTATGCTTATGTGTTTTTTTTGAACACATGCAAGTTGCAAGACAAACAAGTTGTGATGATTTTGTGAGGTGGAATTTCAAGAGCGTATGCTGCATTTTTGTGCGGTGAATTGCTTTGTGGATTATTTAAATGATTAGTGTTTAGTATGCAAATTGGCTGTTTAAAATCACCGGTTTTGGTGGTAGTTTGAAAAGGGAATTTAACTGATCCATAAGACTCCCAATTTAAGACTTTTGTGTTCTTAGTAAATGATGAGTTTTGAACAGTTTAATGCTAAAGCTGATATTTTGTCAGTGATCAGAATACGAATATTCTGGGAATTGAACTCTCATTCATTCTTAAATAAAAAGAGGGTTTCATATTTTCGATCTTTAGCCTGATTCATTTGGCCTTATAGGACACATCCAAAAATTTTATGGCCATATAGCTTTTAAAAGAGAAAGCAAAAAGTTCTCAAGAACAATTGAGCCTTGATAATGAAAGCATTGCTATTGAAAAGAATGGCACAAGTCGGTGTGATTCTGATGTGGTGCTGTATTTAAATCGAAGCCATCACCATGCCAGAGTCATGCCAGCTTGATGCCGGATTTATATTATTAACTGACTTGTGCCATTCGGGTGAAATATATTAACGCATAAAAACTATACCTCAATTATATTAGCTAACCTCTTACTACGCAGCATAATCCATAAGTTTTTAAATCCTGTCAGCTTGAGCTGATTTGAACAGTCAGTTTTCTTTAATTTTTTGAACTATTGCAAAATTACTTCCAACTGAGTTACTTCAAAAACAAACAGCTGCCGAATTTTATGTAACTTCGAATTATTTGATCCGCCGGATTTTAAATAATTAAATATTTCATAATTTATAATTGCAGTAAGAATGAAACTTGTTGGTTCGGTAGTTTTGTGCATCACCGAGCATTTTTTTGGACGAAGTTTTTATAGGATTAATTGAATGAGAAGTTGAGTTATTTTTCAATGATTTAAAGTTGATTTAAAGTTATTATGCCTATGCTTCTAGTCCATCTAGTAATCCTGTAACAAGACATTAAGTCTGTTTATTCAAACATTAATTTAAAATTCTTCAACCCACCATTAATCGCTGTAGCAAGCTACATTTCACCATGAATGGTTTTTAATTAAGTCATTATTCATTACTGTTCTCATGTGCCCTCATTTATGCAAAAAAAAAACTATAAACGTACCGCAATATATATTTTTGCATATATTTATAGACCATCAAGTCAAGACAAAGCTAAAATCACATTTTCACCTTGAAAAATGCACAGCACAAGAAAGAAATAAAAAACCTAACATATTTTTATGCAGCATCACTTGGTTCTTTCGCAAATTAAACAAAACAAGAAAATTGCGCAAAACGTTTTTGTTTTTATATCTTTTTTTGCTTTACAACATGTTTTTTTTGTGTGCAGCGTTTGAAATCATCGGAAAACAGGTACGTATGTGCTGCTGCTGTTGTTTAAAGTCAATGATTATAATTTGTAATATTTTGCAAATTGCAAATCAAATGAGTGCCTCTTTAAGGAGGAAAAATGTGAATATTTGTTAGATGATGCAAAACTGCTGCATATATAAGCTTATAGCCGCTGCTATAAAACAGACTCATTATACACTGCATATTGAATATAATTTTAATATCATTTGATAGCTTCAGCAGATTGGAAAGTAAGTACGAACCCCGAAAAACCACAACCGAGTCATAAATTTGCGGCTACAATTTGTATTGAAAATCAATAGGGCGATCAACATGAGTCATGCGTGGACACTCCTAATTGACTTGCAATACAATTTTTTGTCGAATGCACAACAATATCAATTAAGTTGAAATTATATGAGTAATAAAAATTGTAAATATTTTTATATATTCAGCTCAAGTGTCATTTGCGATTAAAAAATGCCTTGAAGGAAAATATCATCGAAAAAATGTGTCCTCGCTCTGCAAGTGCTTCATTGTTGTACTGCCTATGAGGTCAATAACTAGTTCAAAGAATAACAAGATTCACACATATTAATAAATTATGTGTGGCATTCCTTTATGTATTATTGACAAGATTGCTGCTCGGTTAAGTTGAAATTATCATAAAGAACCCACCATGCTATATGCTATATATACATACATTAACACACTTGTACGAGGAGGTACGCAAAGATGGAAGAAATAAAAAGAAGAACTTTAATTGCAATCTTATGTAGCATCAGCATTGCATTGAGTAGAATATGAACTCATTATAGGCGAACGATGTAATGTTCGCGCTTTTCATGCCTCTTTCTGACTATTGCCTTAATATAAAGATAATTATTTCAATAAATAAATCGAATTGTATCAACAGGATACTAAATAAAGAACTTGAGACATCGATAACTGGAAAATTGATTATTGTGAATTTATGTCATGATGTTTAATGGTTTTGGAATGCTTTTTAGGTCTGTTTAAAATTTATGGAGCTAAGATTTTCATTGTGAATCACACTAAGAATATGGATTAAGCTTTTAAATGCTTTAATGTGCAGATTTGAAGGTCTTTCGAATTGAAATTTTAGAATAATGCGATTTGATTCATGAAAAAATTGAAAGAAGGCGATTAGTTGCTTCATTTTAATATACTAGGAAGTGCTAATGGTTGTGGTAAATCCTTTTCAATGTGGAATTTTTTTTGGACAGCAACAAGGGTTCTGAATTGATCAAAAATGAACAAAATGATCAAAATCTAATTGATCAGTTCTGTAATTTTGGACAGTAATTTTTGATTATAAGACACTTCAGTCTAGTGTGCCATACAATAACAGATAAGTAAGATAAGTAGCTGTGAGTCAACTTCAAAGTTGTTTCCTAAGTTCTATAAAGTTCACCTTTTCGATAGCCACACGTTGGTGTAATAACACTGGTTCCTGACATTTCGTCGCTATATGTCATTCAAGGTATGGCATCAATAGAGTAATGAAAATCAAGAATACGATGTCATTAATTTAACATTTAGAATCTTTGAAAAAGGTCAACAAGTATGCAATTTTCATGTCATTTCCATAAATAATTGATTCTCCTTAAGCTAGCAAATTCAACAATTTTTCATACTTCCACTTTACCTTGATACAGTTACCGCAACTTCAATGTGAGGAAGAGCCTCCTCAATTCAACTAGCGTATAATGCGATAAATTAAAGGAAAGAAATCTTCATCAAGTTCATGATTTTCGAGATAGCCTCCGGTAGCTTTTTGAAGTTTTGTGAATTATTGTTATGAGTCTGGAGGCACAAAATTTTATGGGAAAATAGCCGGTTTTATATTTTTATGCCTTATTTATTTTCGCTGAATTATCATTTTATGTTGACAATTTTGATGGAGTGCGTGTCATGTGAACAGGTTGATTAGGTATCCCGCAGGGTGATTGTGGAATTTTTGTGGTAAAATGTTGTCTCAAAATAACTTATAAAGCTATTTGCAGACCCCTCCCTTCCAAATTTTTAAAGCAATAATAAAAGAAGCTTAACTTATATTTTTAGAATCATAAAAATAGTGTGCTAGTAGCTTCTTGTTCCTTATATACTAAAGAAACAAAAAAACTTAATTTTTCTCACAAGAATCCAATAAAAAATCTGCGCTGTAAGCATTAAATTACCACAAAACCTTGACCCACATCATTCATTTACTTCCAAAGGTTTATAATTGATTGCCTTACATGAGTCTGCAAAAGTCAAAAGCCCTTATCATGAAAGATCTCAAAAAAATCCAATTATACCTTTACAAATGAATTCCTTAATTACGAGCATATAAAAATTATTTAAAGTGCAGTGACATTAAAAATAATTCGCAACATTGTAAGACCTTAATGGATGTCACTTAAAACATATTTTTATAGACCTTAAATTAATTGAAAAATCATCTCCTTTTACTTTTATGAAGAGGAATTAGCCGTGCGGAAACATTGCTCTTATAACTTACTATTTGTACAGCATTATGTGTTAAATCTCTTCAAGGTCTTAATAAACTATGATCGTGAGAGATGAAAAGAGAGAGAGGAATTGGAATTGTAGAAGAGAAATAACAAATGTTGGAATTGCTTTGCTGTTGCCATCTGCTTTTTTTTTTCGCAAGATAATTGAATGCTTTAATAAGTTTATTTCATAACTTAAATTAAAATCATCATGATCGCGTCTAGGGTAATTAAAAAAATTTATTCATCATAACAAATTGCTTCTCATGCTCGCATGGAGACGTCATTTTTGTGGAATTATTAATCAGAATCATAAGTTTTACTTACCCACAGCTCCCCAATCAGGATGTGCTAGATTATTGTACCAGCCGTCATAGCGTTGCTTCTCAATGTGACTAAAATATTTTTCTGTTAATGAGAGGATACAAAAAAGAGAAAAATGATGAGTAAAGGGTTGAAGAATCAGTACACAAGACAAGAGCTTAAGAATCTTGGCAGTTTTTTGTTTAAAACAAAAGAGTTGTAAAATTAATTGTTCTCTGACGATTATCGCGAGTAGAATATAAATTTTTTTGGAAGATTGTAAGGCCGTCCACACTTGGGTTTGAATATTTTCTGAGATGTAACAGAATTGTCTTTTTTGACTTTAAGTGTTAGATTATTGAGAGATTAACAGCGGGGAGTTGATGACTCTTTTGTTGGTTTTAGAATTTGTTAACAGTATCATTGTCAGATTTGTGTCAGCTTGAGATAAATTTTGGAATCCTTTTGGGATTTTTCGATGAAGGAACAAGCAGTTTGGATGTTCTTGTTATTAGTTTTGGATAATACTGAGCTAGAATGTTGTAATAGAGTTCTTTAAGTTGAGTTAAGATACCGTCATACTTTCAATATTCCGATGTGTTCTTAAATGAAGATTATCTTTGGCTTGTACCATTGATCAGCAAATCTGAAGCAACATCCACCTCTTGCTATACCGACTTCACAAAAATATGCATTAAAATCAAATCTTCCATCCATCATCCAAGTTCAAACTCAACAAAACTCTCAAAAAGATTTCATTAGCTTTGAAGCTACAACTTTTTATTCATAATTCCACACTTAAATTTCACCCAGAGCCCCCATTGAGACTACAAAAATGCACTCAACTATAAGTTATAGTCTATAACTCAACAATATGCTTATTCAGATTTAAAAAATGTGTAATAAAATTACACGTGAGAGCTGAGATTTATTTTTATTTTTGAAAAAATATAATGATAAAAATTATAAATGACCACTTTTTGTACTTAATGAAAAAAATGCGAGTTAACATCAAAAGGAGAAATATATGGATTAGTGTAAATTAACGTCATGGATACACTTGAATGGATGGTTTATAAATAAATTTAATTAATTGAAATGAGACATGATTTTTATAAATTGATGCTGAAAAGATTTGCTTGTAAAATGCCATTTACACTTCATTTTAATGCAATTACAGATAATGGATATTAACCATAATGAAACTGGTTAAATGTATGTTGGAGGTATTTTGAGACATAAATGTTCTTTAGGATGAAATATAGGAACGCTTCGAAATGCTACAAAGTGGATTAATTTCAGAAAAATAAATAGCATACAATATTGCATTTAATTGCTATATTTTATGGCTCAGTTTTCCTCATAAATTGATTTTTTATACAAAAACTAAAATGCTCGATTTTTATTGCAATTCAAATGGCATTTTATGGACAATTTCCTCTCTAAAAGTGACTGATATGATTAAAATTTATATTTAATTGAAATCTCTTTTTTAATCTCTAGCATGGATGACATAAAAGGAAACAGATGGACTTCAAAATGAATTTTGCATTACAATGGATTTTATTCAATTTTTTTTAAAAACAATTTGAATGATGAGGAATTTTGGGGGTTTAGATAAGGTGACCAAAAGTTTTTAAAAAATATCGAGCACCACCCTCATTTTGACTATTTTTATTCATTTCTGGGCAAATTCGAACAAATATAAAATTTGATTATTTTTAAAAAATTAGAAAAATTGAGGACTCTTCGCTGAAAACTCAAGATGAAAAACAGCCTAGTTTAGTGGCACATTTAGAGACGTATTTTGCTCAGTTTTTAAATTTTTTGCGGCTATTTTGCTCGTTTTTTGATTTTTAAAGATTCTGTAAAACATTTTAGAACAAAGACCTTCTTGAATTGGGAGGTTCTCAAACTTTTTTGGTCCACAGCGCGTTTTTTACGTAAAAATTTTCGCGGCACACCTGACTAGTCTTACGGCACATCAAACGGTTTTTTTTACCTTTTTCATAAAAAATCATGAAAATATAAGGCCTGTTTTAGCAAGTGTACCGCGGCACATAGATTGAGAACCACTGATCTAGACACTTCAAATCCCCATCTATTGAGCTTTTAGCCTACCCCCCTTAGCCTACACCTTGCTACAATTTCACTGCGATTCTTATTTATGTGAAATTAAATCAAACCCCTTAGCCATGAAATTGAACTTTTACAAACATTTCATTACATAAAATGTCAACAACAAATATTGATGTATGCAAAAACTCTGATTGATTGACATTTATATCCATTGCATTTTCCATTATTCGAATTCTCATTTTTTAAAAGGGATAAAAAAATATTTTTGTTTATTTGATAATAAATGAAATAATTTATGTAATTGAATACGAGTTACTACTTTAAGTATAGTGAAGTATGAAGACGTGTCCACAGACTTTAATTTGTGTCATTAAGCAATCATTAAGGTAACCATCAATTTGTGGATTTGATGTCATTGCATTCAAGTACGCCCTTATTATTGTTGTTGTTGTTGTGTCAATTGGAATTCATAAAGTTTTAGGGCATGCAAGAATCAGAAATGCTACTAATATTCAATGAAACCCCAATTGAGTCATCAAACTCGTAATGAACTCATTACTGTGAAATTCATTTCAAAGTTATCCGATCAAGAAACTCACAGATTGTGACAAGATAATCCTCAAAGAAGCTAGTCATTGAGAAAATGTAAGTTGTTGCTGTTGAAACTGTTTCAATAAAAATATTACATTAATCCAATATTAATACGAGATTATAAATCTCCCCATATAGCACACGGACAAAGTCATCATTATGCAGATTATAACTTAATATATTAGTTTTCATAACATAGTCAGTGAAAAAAAAGTGAGAGGGAAAGATATACTTTTTTTCACAATTGTACACACATATTAGACGACGGGGTCATCAATCTTGTTAATTTTTGTGGTGCTTACAAAAGCGATATATATTATTTCTCTAAAAATAATAATTCCAGGGATGATGAATGGCAAATTATTCATCCAACAAAAGCGTTAGCCAATTTTTTTTCCCTCCAAATGCACATATGAATATTCATATGCTCATTCATTAAATAAAAGTATACGTGATTAATAGCACTTTACAAATCCCTTCTCTTCCAAATGCTTTTGTTTTCTTTCTCTGTTCGACATTACTCATGTGCCTGTTCTATTTTTAACGTAGCAATTTGGCGCTAAATTTATTTTACAAATTCGCGATTAAGACGAGTCTAACAATGATAGAAAATTATGATAGGTATTAATCTAATAAATTTCAACGCATTTGTTATAATAAATTAGAAAGCTTTTAATTTTTTTGGATTGATTTAATTTGCTCGTTTTGCTTTGAGTTAATTTTTCAGTGAAAAATTGAAATTGGATTAGTAATTTGATGAATTTGAGATTTTTAAACTGATTAATGTTGGATTTTAAACCAGTTTTAAAAAGATTTTTATTATAGCGCCAAAAAAAATTGTTGGGGTGTAGTTCGTTTATTGGATTCAAGCTTGTGTCAGGGTAAAGCTAGAGTGATGCTAGGGTGATGCTAGGATGCAGCTTGGGTGTATCTAGTGTAAAGTTTTGCCAATACTAGGGTGTATCTAGTGTCAGGATGAAGCTAGAGTGATGCTAGAGTGATGCTAGAGTGATGCTAGAGTGATGCTAGGATGCAGCTTGTGTGTATCTAGTGTGAAGTTTTGTCATTACTAGGGTGTACCTGTAGCGTATAGCTAGGATGATGCTTGGATGATGCTTGGATGAAGCTAGGGTGGAGCTAGAGTGAAACTTGCTAGACAAGCATCAATCTAGTCTTCAAAAATTACCTTGTGACCAGGTAAGGAGAAGAGGGGTGTGTAGCGACGATAGTATTTCAGAGCTTCTATTTAAAGTTGTTACAATATGGATTAAAAATGATAGAGTTTACATTTTGGTAGCCACCATCAATGAGCAGTTACCAGAGAACTCCCTTGATCATTTCCATTCACATCCTTTAAGATTGATGACTTCAAACAATTAATCAGAGTCAAATCAAAAACCTTTCTAAAAATTGCAAATATTAATTTTATGATTTTTAAAAAAATAAATCATTAATAAAATGACAAGAACACGAATGCCTTGGACATCTTACAACTTTTTTCTTGGCTTCTGTGTTGACCAGCTTACCATGAAATTTTTTTGCGTCTGCCAAGAAACTTTTTTAATATCCACAAAAAAATGAGCCGAAATTTTCTTTCAATCATGAAAATGAAGACACCAGAAAAAAAAAACTATATTCAAGATTGTTGTCTGAATTACATCATTTTTCAAATAAAAACATAATTAATTGTTTAATGCCACAAATGAGCATTGATGAAGATTTCTAAACAACAACAAGTAAGTTTCATAGAGTAACAGGAAAGACATAACACACAAGTAGTGAGGAAAAAATAAATGTAAAGTTTTTTAATACTTTTTAAATTGTTTTCACGGCCATTATTAATTGTAAAAAACATTGCTACTGCAACCGAAATTACTTTGCGGAAATGCTGTACACAAATGATTAAAATTACTAATTGTGACGCCACCGCAAAAATTATGATTGTTATTATAGTGATAATCGTGCAATAAGGACATCTGTGATCTCATTAAAAAACACTTAAATCCATTTGACATAATTTTCCAATAGACGTCAATTATTAAAATTGTGGTGCATAATTTAGCACAACTGCGTTAACGACACGAAATCTCGTAAATAAGTGGATTTAGATGCACTTGTCGAGTGCATTTTAGCACTTGAAATATTCATGAAAATCTACTCAACAGCCGTCAATAACTCTTCTTTGTTGCTTTGCAATTATAAACGGATGCTTGTTGATTTATTCTTTATTTGGTAAACATCTGTGAGCTTTCATTATTATTTCCAGGCTTTATTTTTCACATCCACACGTGCTTCATTAATTTATAATTAAGGTCTGATCGCTCCAGACTCTATCGTTCCTTTTAAATCATCATCTTCATCTCAATAGTTATTATGTAAGCATGTGCTTGTTCTTAAACTGTTTACTAGTTTTGCTATTTTTTTTTGTAGAATAA